TAACGATCACAATAATTAATCTCTTTTTTATTGTTTATTCCACATATTATTTTGTTTTAGTTATATACTTCAAGTTATACAGATCCTATCAATAGTAATGATGATGATATCTTCACGTCCATTTCCGAGACCAGAGTCAAGATGATTATCTGACTGGCTTTTTTCTTCACCGCTAGTAGAATTGTCCATCATAGAACGAAGATGTGAAAATTTAGAGTGTAATGCTCGAGCGATAATTGCACACGGATCAGAGCCACTGGAACAAACAAACAAAAGATCACACTTTTAATGGTTATAGAACTGTGGTGAAAATTTGCTCTCACTACACATACGAAATATTCTCACCTGATTGTAGGAGACCGTTTTTGTTTTATCGGTGTGCCACCGGGTGATCTTGGTATTGAACGTAGTTTAATGGATCCACTTTGTAATTCTTTCAACACTTGTGACATATCAGCAGGATTTTGTGATATCGACAAATTACTTTTTATTGGTGTAGATGTTTTATCTGTGCAATTATTCTGAAAAAGATATACAAAGTTATTTTATAACTGAAATAAGGAAACAATTTCTCTTAAATTAATAAGAATAAATAAGAAAATAAAAGTTCCCATGTTTATAGCTTTGGCATCCAATCAAAATATTCTCCTTATTAGTGTGAACGCACAGTTCACTGGCAACGCCTAAGACCATGTAACATGGAAATTCATGTTCGAACCCACTAGGAAGAATAACTTCTCAAGAGATTGGCAGTTGCGCTTTGCTGATAAGTGCCAACTACTACAAAACCCATATCGAACAGGGTCTTCTGCAGACTAAACTAAAATATAGCGCACAAGATGTAAGATCGCTTAGAGTAAAAACTTATAAATCAACAGAAGTTTATCAATGCTAAAGACTAAACAAACATGACAATTACAGCTACTCAGTGATCAATCAATGTAAATAGGATATTACCAGTATCAAATGTGATAACAAATTAGGAAATGTTAAAATTCAAGGATTGGTAGCTACTTCTCCCTGAGCAACTCATAGTATTAAACAGAAGAGAATTTAATTGTCAGATAATAAAAATGGAAACTCCGCTGTATATATATATATATATATATTTAGGTACCCCTTTGTACCAATGTTTACGTGTTTAATTAAATAAATAATAAAAGGAAACAAATAGTTAAATATTAAAGATGTTTGAACATGTGTATGAAAAAGGAACAGTGTAAGGCAATAATGAGTGCCTTTTCCAACAGACGGCAGAAAAAGGTCCATCATCAAATATATTGTGATCTTAACAAAATACTTATGAGTGATAATTAAAATATTAAAAAGGACAATTTTATGCTCAAAGTCTACTCAAAATTGTAGCATGAAATGTGATGTATACAGAAATAAAGCTTGCCGTTTGGTCTAACCGAAAACAACCAACGATTAATTATCAAAAAAGTTCCTAGCTGTGAAATAAAAATCACATACATAGAGAGGACTAAATTTCTTTGAACTATACCTTTTTACTTCTTAACCTTGCTTGCAATTGTTCTCTCCAATTACTACTACCATCTGCTCCTCCTTGTAGTGCAGGTGAAGAAATCATGGGCGGTGGTGGGGGTAGTATTAATGATGTTGAAGTTAAACTAGCTGAAGGAATAGGAGATTCTGACAAATTGTTGTAAAACCTTGTTTTATCATGTTGCATCAAACTAGGTGATCCTGTGGCAGCGATGGCGGTATCACTGTCACCATTTGCATCTGGACAATGAAGAAAGCGATCTCGTCCTAAGTCAGATGTTCTTGATTTGCCTAATTCTTGAGCCAAAATTAACTGAGCAATTTGTGACAGTCGGCAAGAAACGTTGCTCAATCTGCGTTTCGTGCTACTTGACACTTGTTAGCAAGGCATACCTGCAATCCTGAGAGAATTGGTTGGAGCTAATCTGTAGGATACCCTAGACATAGGTTTGATGATGATTGATCCTCGTAGGCAAGGTGTAGCTAAAATCGTGTGCGAACTAATCCGATCTGTAGGATTCATTTTACATCTTGCTGACAAGTGTCAACTAGTAGAAGACCTAATCTAGGAGTTCCTGTCGATCAGCTCTAACCATCTACCGTCATAAAATTATTTCTGCAACAGTACGCAAAACTTTACATTCAATTTACCAAAATTATACAAAAGATAAAATCACATACCTCTTTTATTTTTTCCACGATACCTATAATTACTGTACTGTGTTTTGTTTGATTTCATAATTAATTTTTGATTATTATTATCACCAGTAATGTTTTTTATAGATTTTATTTCAGAATCTGGTAAACTGGTATATATATTGGAAAATGAACCAACATAATACACTGGAACATTAGACTCTTGATAATTTTTATGTGAATTAAAAATAGAAAATGAACTGGAAACAGTATCTCGATTGTCATTGTAACAGGGTAAAGAAGTTAAATGTGAATACCGATTTGGTTCGTTATAACTATGATGAAACTATTAAAAATTTTAATAACTAGTAGAGCATCGAGTTTCTATCAAAAGGAATTCCTGTTAAGATCCATTTTATAATACGGATCTTGAAAATGACTGAAGAAGAAATGATTCTTCTCTTATTCATAAATTAATTAATAGGGGATATAGGGGAAGATCCTTGCAAATTGTATAGCTAAACTTAAAAAGTAAATAGGGTATGGACCATACTCTAAGTGTGTAGAATACCGACTCCCTATCTAGAAGTATTATCATAAAGAGATGTATCTTCAATTTACTTTTCACGTTTAACGATACAATTTGCAAGGATCTTCCCCTATATCTCCTATTAATTAATTTATGAATAAGAGAAGAATCATTTCTTCTTCAGTCATTTTCAAGATCCGTATTATAAAATGGATCTTAACAGGAATTCCTTTTGATAGAAACTCGATACTCTACTAGTTATTAAAATTTTTAATAGTTTCATTATTTAACGATCACAATAATTAATTACTGGTGATAATAATAATCAAAAATTAATTATGAAATCAAACAAAACACAGTACAGTAATTATAGGTATCGTGGAAAAAATAAAAGAGGTATGTGATTTTATCTTTTGTATAATTTTGGTAAATTGAATGTAAAGTTTTGCGTACTGTTGCAGAAATAATTTTATGACGGTAGATGGTTAGAGCTGATCGACAGGAACTCCTAGATTAGGTCTTCTACTAGTTGACACTTGTCAGCAAGATGTAAAATGAATCCTACAGATCGGATTAGTTCGCACACGATTTTAGCTACACCTTGCCTACGAGGATCAATCATCATCAAACCTATGTCTAGGGTATCCTACAGATTAGCTCCAACCAATTCTCTCAGGATTGCAGGTATGCCTTGCTAACAAGTGTCAAGTAGCACGAAACGCAGATTGAGCAACGTTTCTTGCCGACTGTCACAAATTGCTCAGTTAATTTTGGCTCAAGAATTAGGCAAATCAAGAACATCTGACTTAGGACGAGATCGCTTTCTTCATTGTCCAGATGCAAATGGTGACAGTGATACCGCCATCGCTGCCACAGGATCACCTAGTTTGATGCAACATGATAAAACAAGGTTTTACAACAATTTGTCAGAATCTCCTATTCCTTCAGCTAGTTTAACTTCAACATCATTAATACTACCCCCACCACCGCCCATGATTTCTTCACCTGCACTACAAGGAGGAGCAGATGGTAGTAGTAATTGGAGAGAACAATTGCAAGCAAGGTTAAGAAGTAAAAAGGTATAGTTCAAAGAAATTTAGTCCTCTCTATGTATGTGATTTTTATTTCACAGCTAGGAACTTTTTTGATAATTAATCGTTGGTTGTTTTCGGTTAGACCAAACGGCAAGCTTTATTTCTGTATACATCACATTTCATGCTACAATTTTGAGTAGACTTTGAGCATAAAATTGTCCTTTTTAATATTTTAATTATCACTCATAAGTATTTTGTTAAGATCACAATATATTTGATGATGGACCTTTTTCTGCCGTCTGTTGGAAAAGGCACTCATTATTGCCTTACACTGTTCCTTTTTCATACACATGTTCAAACATCTTTAATATTTAACTATTTGTTTCCTTTTATTATTTATTTAATTAAACACGTAAACATTGGTACAAAGGGGTACCTAAATATATATATATATATATATATACAGCGGAGTTTCCATTTTTATTATCTGACAATTAAATTCTCTTCTGTTTAATACTATGAGTTGCTCAGGGAGAAGTAGCTACCAATCCTTGAATTTTAACATTTCCTAATTTGTTATCACATTTGATACTGGTAATATCCTATTTACATTGATTGATCACTGAGTAGCTGTAATTGTCATGTTTGTTTAGTCTTTAGCATTGATAAACTTCTGTTGATTTATAAGTTTTTACTCTAAGCGATCTTACATCTTGTGCGCTATATTTTAGTTTAGTCTGCAGAAGACCCTGTTCGATATGGGTTTTGTAGTAGTTGGCACTTATCAGCAAAGCGCAACTGCCAATCTCTTGAGAAGTTATTCTTCCTAGTGGGTTCGAACATGAATTTCCATGTTACATGGTCTTAGGCGTTGCCAGTGAACTGTGCGTTCACACTAATAAGGAGAATATTTTGATTGGATGCCAAAGCTATAAACATGGGAACTTTTATTTTCTTATTTATTCTTATTAATTTAAGAGAAATTGTTTCCTTATTTCAGTTATAAAATAACTTTGTATATCTTTTTCAGAATAATTGCACAGATAAAACATCTACACCAATAAAAAGTAATTTGTCGATATCACAAAATCCTGCTGATATGTCACAAGTGTTGAAAGAATTACAAAGTGGATCCATTAAACTACGTTCAATACCAAGATCACCCGGTGGCACACCGATAAAACAAAAACGGTCTCCTACAATCAGGTGAGAATATTTCGTATGTGTAGTGAGAGCAAATTTTCACCACAGTTCTATAACCATTAAAAGTGTGATCTTTTGTTTGTTTGTTCCAGTGGCTCTGATCCGTGTGCAATTATCGCTCGAGCATTACACTCTAAATTTTCACATCTTCGTTCTATGATGGACAATTCTACTAGCGGTGAAGAAAAAAGCCAGTCAGATAATCATCTTGACTCTGGCCTAGGACCTGGACGTGAAGATATTTGGTCACCCAAACGTAAACCCAACGGTTCTCCTCATTCACTGGTATGTCATTTCCTTAATCATACTGATCCTGTCTTTAAGATACTAAACGTACAACACAGCTATTATACATATATATATTTCGGGAATTTTAAAATCTAACGCTTAAACTAACACAATTTGATTATGAGTAGACTACTAATGACCTGGGACTGAAGAAGATGCTACAAAGCAGACATCACTTTAGAGCCGACACACCATTCTATTTCTTATTATACAGACCGATAGTGCTCCTTTTTGAGAAATTCTGAAGGAAAAAAAGTAGTATCCTACAATCTAACTACTAAGCAGTTAACTGTGTTATTCTATACACTGCCATGCAGTATTATCAACATTATCACGGTCGTGAAGATTTTCTCCGAGTAAAATGTCTAGGCTACGTCAATGCACCTTCGCCAAGGTTATCTCTAGAATATCACTCGTAGTAACGTTGAGACAATGATGAAATATCATTGTCTAAATCGTCCTTTCCATATCAGCTAATGTATTAAGTATTCAAACGATTTTATGTGACTCAATACTTAAGGAGTAACCCAGATATGTCGTTAATACTTGGCAAGAATATCACATAGTTGATAGTTATTTATGTTAATCTTCCCATTAATCAGTTCGCAACATACTGAAGTCAAGCTTGGGTATCGCGTACAGTTTTGACAGTAAGTTCTAATCTAATTTAACTACCTCCACTGACCAAGTTTTTCACATAGGGTAGAGTCACGGTTGAACCGTTTGTAGGCGCTTAGAGTGAGGACACTCGAACAAATAAACCTTATATGCCCCTTACGTTCGGTTTCATGTGCACGTAATACTAACATTTCAATTTGTTCTCTTTCAAATTTTTGGCCAGCACGTTCTCCGCCCAGTCAATCGACGTCCAGACAAAGCCAATTAAAATATTCAACACAGATACCTAAGACTTCCACACACTACTACTTTACAGATCCTACGTATATACCATGTCACACCTTACCTACTCTTTCAGACAAGCTATGATTATTAAAATAAATTGCTCTGTTTCATGTTTTGACTTGTTGATAATGTACTTAAGCGTTTCTGTATAGAAAGCTTACATCGGTGATGCTTGATGCTGTATATTTTTCTCTTTATTATTTGGAGTTATATGTACTGAATGCGCTATATGCTTGCAAAAATATCGTAGTAGCGTGACCGGTAAGCTGTGACCATGAGTTGAGTCAAGATAATACCAAAGCTAGCAAAGACCCTATATTTTCTGTTTCGGTTTCCACGATAAGGTATTAAACATAAATTGTACCACGAATACTATCACTGTTGTCGCGACAACAATAGTAGTGGGTCGCACGGGATAACATCTAATTTGTTTTTGTCTTTGTACTAACGAGTCAAGAAAATATAGGAAGTCACATATACATCATTTTACGTTTATTAATTGGGGTTTCAAAAATGTAGAACATCTTTTCGAAGGAGTGGAATCTAATATATAGCATTAGGGAGCGGACTGGTATTTTTGAATATTTTATTCCATGCTGTTATCGTTAATCGTTCGTCGACATCGTACAGACTCGACTTTCTCTATCTGAAAGGAAATATAAATCCACTTAGGTAGACAGTTAATTTAATAGTCATTAGGAGGAATGTCACAAGAATAACAAAACAGCTCGTAGACCTTGGGTCTAAAAGGACCATAACTACTACTTGACAGCAGCCTCTAGGAAGAATTTTAATTAATTCTTTATTTATTTAAACATAAATATTGGTACAAAAAAGCACTAGATAAATACGCCTCACAAATCTCATTCGATTTGTGTGAGGGCTGTGATACTGCCCGGGTGCCCAAACTGAAGCAGGTAGTTTTCTTAGGGGGCCACACCCCGAGCCTTTCACCTAAAGGTCTAGTCCACAAGGCAGTGGAGCATCGTGAGGAGATGTAGTCCCATGGTAGTCGGTGATCAATGAGTGATTCGTACTCCATTTGTTCCCTCAGGATACTGGAGCCCATGTGCACCATTGGTTTGGAATCAGGGTTTTCCAACTCTCCTAGGTGGATCCTCCACATCCACCAACCCGGTTAAAGCGCCGGACATTCGCTTTTCGTACTCTCACTTTTGTAAAGAACACCCCCGCCACGAGAAGGCAGTGAGTAGAAGTTCCCTGGCAGAGGCTACATATGAGAGCATTTCGAAAGGGAGGGCAGACTCTCCACTCTCTCGGCTGTACCAGGGCATTTGGGGGCAGGAACAAGAATAATTTATGACTGACAAGTTTATACACAGAATATGTAAATAAGAGTTTGTACTTCACATGAGACAGTTATTAAATGCATTTTGAATGCTTTAAGCAGCAAAAACAAACAACCGCGATTTGTATTCAGTCAGTATACAACAAATTTAAGTGAAGTGAACGGTTAGGTTCATTTTAGCCGCTTTGGATATGGCACAATCTTCACAAGCAAAAATTTAATTTGAACTGATTAATAAGCACTATTCTTGGAAATAGAATACGTTGAATGTTAAGTGTAGAGAACAATAAAATAAAACTATTATAAACTACACACTGTAGCTCTTTGTATTGTTATCTTCTGAAGGGGCTACGAATTTACCCAGGACTCCGTCGTCACATGTCTGTGATGGTTTATTTTGAGAAGCATTATAAGATCGACGTTAATGGCAACACTTACCCTATGAACTGACAACTAAGTACTATGCCGTAAATAGCGTGAATTTTCTCACTTCGAAAGTCTCTTTTGAATGTGAAAATTAACAAGGTTGAAGGCCAGTCAGTAAAAGCAACATTCATGATGGGATGCGAATCAACTTTTACAAATATATTACTTCTATGTCGCCAGAAACCACGTGTGAGAATTGACGGCGTGGTGGAGGGACATGTCTAAAAAGTAAATAACTGTAGCTTACATATACAAGGCTTGATTTTAGTCAACCGGGTTCGCTGTGGCACCAGTAATAAAACTTATTGGGAAACGTTGTAGCTGACTAAGACGCTATCATTGGGCTTGACCATACCGTTTTATATGCGTTTGTATTCTAGTAACATTCAGTGTGGTGAAAATAATTATTGAGGCGTGTCATCTTAACATCCCTAGAATTCCAGGGTTTAAATCCAGAAAAGATGACAAGGCTATGGAAAATATATAAATACATCACCATGGATCTACCTCCAGCTGGCATTGATGAACGATATTTTGTAGGTGAGAGCGTCTGTTGTTTTCCTTATTGGACAGATCGTCGTTGATCTGGCGAAGCAAAGTACTTTGTGGGGAAGCACGGGCATCAGCAAGCAGTTTTGCTTTCTCAACCTACAAGATAACGTATAACGAAACTTTTTTACTTCTTTCTTGTTGCTATTAATTATCTTGTCGATAATTTGTTGCCGCCTAGACGACTTCTGTGCCAAATCCTCCGCGAGATTCTCCATTAATTCATTTGATCTATTTACGAGCTTCTCTTTTTCTTGTTCACATTTAGATTTGACCAAATGAACATGTTGCTCATTCCGATTTATAGTTTCCTGGAAGATTATGCATCCTTATTTTTCAACTCACAGCCAGAACATTAGATCGTCTTTCCCGAGCTTTCTCTAGCCTTTCATTCAAGTCAGACTCATTCCGAAGGATATAATTCGGAGAAGAAAGCAGGCGTAAAGCTCTAGGAGACTGAACCTCATCTCGTATCGGTATTTCAAAGGACACATTACAATTCAAACCACTTGACCCCATCAGTAAAATACAATTTTGATTCCAGCAGACTAGTTTAGAGCGCAGTGATATTCACTGCGTCAAACAACAAATTCACCTTGAGATTTGTAATTTAAAGATTGCAGACTTTCTGCAGATATATCTAAGTTTTCGTCATCGAATATCCTAAAATAAGTACAGAAGACAATAACCTGTGCAATTTCACGATTATAAGATGCAGCAGAAGCAGGGTTGACTAATGAAATTCTGCCCTGGATTCCTGTTAATGACAAAATTCAGCAGAACGTAAAAACCTAAGAATGGTACGAATATTGAGATACATTAGTTACTAGTTTTTGCGTATTTTTGAGGGCGAAAGATCGAAGCATCGCCTTTGTAGTGTCACGATAAATCGAAATAATTTCAATAGGTGCTGATAGCTGTCTTAGTTTGAGACTAGAGCTCTTCAGTGTAATTAGGTTTCGTAATTCTTGTTCCTCCTTCTGCATGTTTCCCAATCTACGGTAATTTTCGCGTTATGTCCATTTCTAGCGGAGCCGTCTGATTGTCCTGGTCTTTGATTTGTTGGATTATCATTTGGTTAATTGAGATGTATATAATCGATGTGTTGGACCTGTTGAAGAAAATAATTATCGGCCCTAGCTCTTATTGCACTCCTTATTGTTTTATGATCCGTATAAAATATGAATTCCCTGCCTTCAGCCGTTCGTGGGAAACGCCTAACAGTAAGGTGGAGTGTTAGTGCTCGTCCGAAGATGGAGTATCTCGTCTCTGCTAGAGTGAGTCTTTTTGAGAAGAGCGTGATTGGTTTCCAGGCCTTTTCAATCACTTAGTTAAGAATGCCGCCTAATACTTCGTACGGCGCATCCGCCATTAAAGCGAGTGTTGAATGGGAATTAGGATACATCAACGTAGATGCTTGAGCTAGCTTCTCTTTAGCTGTTTAACAGCCTCAGAAGTCAGTTTAAATTCTTTTGGTTTTCCTTTTAAAGGATCTGTCAAATGTTGCATTATTTGTGGAAGACTAACTATGAATCTAAGATAAAAGTTGACTAAACCCTGAACTCTTCTAAGTTATATTAGAGAACGTGGTATGATGTATGACCTAATAGCGTTCACCTCTTCTCTGATAATTGTATTCCCTTCTGAGCTTACTGTGCGCCCGAGAAACTCCAAATTTCGAACACCGAAAACATATTTTGATGTGTGTTTACCACACCTTCATTTAGCCGTTTCAACACTGCTCTCATGTGTTGTTTTTGTGATATTAAATCCAGACTGGCAATTAACAAATCGTCTATGTACTCCTGTTCGAAATGTATATCTCGAAGTAGGCTGTCCATAAACCCTTGAAATGATGTTAAGTAAAGCCTCTGTATGCACCAAACTACTCACGCCTAAACTTCTGTCTTCAACATAAAACAAGCGACTTTCTAAGCACCCCATCTCAGTCGTCGCGACCTTCAGCAGGGTTATTCGTTTCCCATACTCTTGCGAGCCTGTTTAGGCCAGACACATGTTGACTGCATTCTGTTGATTTGACACCGAACTCACAGTGATACCAACAGAACTGTCCAAATTGTCTGAACGCTTATGACCTACTATGTAACATAGATCTTGGTCATTGTGATAACTTGCTACTAGTGCTACGAACCATTTGAATTGTGGTGACAGCATCTGTGAGACTCTTGACACCCGCAATGAGTTAGGCTGTGAATGGGTCTTTTAATCTTTATTCATTTTACGTATGGTGTATCGCACGTGGAGCTCTTAAATGAGCCAGTTTAATTGAATCCACTGGACATCAAAGTAAAATACACAGACCTTCCTATAGATGCTATTCTACCAACGATCAAAAGAATCAGAACGGCCATCAGGTAAATCAAGAGTAGAAAATCATAAGGACCTGACAACATATCAGCTGGATCACTGAATTCAAACATAGAACTAACTTCAAACATGCTCCACGTTCTATTCAAGAAGATTTAGGAGAAGGAACAAATACCAACAAACTCGAAAGAACGATGTCTCATCAATATTCCTGAAAAAGATGTCAGAAAGTATGAGAACTACAGAGGCATCACTTTAATAACGGTATCAGGAAAAGTTCTCAACACAGCGTTGCTGGGTTGGATGGAAGATCCAGTAGACTCCCAACAGGCTGGACTCCGTTATGATCGGCCGTGTACAGACCAAATCGCGGCGATAATGATCGTCCCTGAACAATCAGTTGAGCAGAATCGTCACTATGCACCAAATATTTTTTGATTATAAAAAACATTCGACAACATGGATAAGAGACGTTGGTGGAACTTTCCTCGACAATATGTAGTGAGCATCTGAGAAAATCGTTAACATCATACGAAATTCATACGACAGACCACGGTGCAAGGTGGTGCATAGGCGACAGCTGACAGACGCATTCCAAGTGAGGACCGGAGTCAGACAAGGTTGTCTATTTTCATCTTTTCTCTTCCTTCTTCAGGTTGACAAGATCATGAAAACCTCGACATCTGAGAGGGAGCACGGAATACAATGAACAGATTCCATGCAACTGAACGATTCGGACTCCACAGATGACCTAGATCTTCTATTCCATACACATCGACAGATGCAAGTGAAGAAAACCGGTGTGGTAGCAGCCTCTACATCAGTAGGCCTGAACATACACAATGCAAAAAGAAACATCCTTAAATACAACACGGAGAACACCAACCCAGTCAAACTTGATGAAGAGATTCCGGAAGATGTGAAAAGTTTTACTTATCCAGATTGCGTCATCGATTAATATGGAGGATCTGATCTAGATATGAAGGCACGGATTGGCAAATCAAGGTCATCATTCATACATTTGAAGAGCATATGGAACTCAAAACAATTGTCAACCAATATCAAAGTCACAATCTTCAATGCAAATATCAAGACAGTTCCGTTGTACGGAGCTGAAACGTGGAGAACTACTACAGCTATCATTAAAAAGGTACAAGTATTTATAAACAGTTGTCTACACAAGATACTCAATACCTGTTGGACAGATACAATCAACAACAGCCTTCTGTGGGAGAAGACAATCAGCTTCCAGCTGAAGAGGAAATTAGGAAAATCCGTCGGAAGTGAATAGGAAATACATTGAGGAAATCATCAAACTGCAAGCCCTAACTTGGAATCGTGAAGGGAAGTGGAAAAGATGGAGGCCGAAGAACACACTACGTCGGGAAATAGAAGCAGATATGAAAAGGATAAATGTTAACTGGAAAGAAATGGAAAGAATTGTTGAGGACAGGGTTGGATGGAGAATGCTGGTGTTCAACCTGTGGTCCTCAACAAGGGTTGACATGGGTGAGAGAGTAGGTAGATAAGTGTCGTTCGTGATCCGTTCGGAGGACCTCTTTCAATTATTCTGTCTACAATACGCACAAAAACACGCACTTCTCTGGAGACAAGTGGTAGGTGTACAGATCATAAATCACGATAGGGGATTCCCTCAGATTTAATATTGTCTCGTAAAATAATGCTCCAATCGAGCAAACCGCAACTCCAGGTTACTTCGATTAAGTTTTGGAGATCGAACTTTCTTAGTTATCACAGTGTCTTCGCCGCCAGTGACAAATGACATTCATCTTCCAGACTTTCTGTTTTGATTGAGTATGACATGTTGTATATTACCAATATGTTAATGTGACAAACGAGGCAGACTAATGGTTCCCAAACAAATAACTTACCATGAAAGTCAATACATATGAAGACATGTATGAAATTTATGTTAGAGATAGCCGGAAGGCCTAATTCTTTGACTAAAAAGTAGACAAAAGAGAAATTAATTATCTTTGTGTTTAAATTAAGTTTCACCGTTTTAGTGTCAGCAGATACCCTCCGTTTTTTAGATAGAGGAAACCATACTAATGGTCGAATAGGTTATTACTTCAACCACTGAATCGGACTGAATTTGTCTTTCTCAAACACATAAAGTTTATAATAATCAATATCAAATAATATAAAATATAATACACAAACAAAATAAGGAATTTAATGAATACTTGGGCTATATTGCCTAGACATAAGTGAGATGTTTGTGGTTAATTACCAACCCGCAAACCTAAGTTGTTTGAAGTTATCGTTACCAAGGTTAGGCTTGATAATTTCAAACAAATAGAGAATTAGGTAGAATGTCGTGAATAAAAATAATATATTCACAATATTCCAATTAGCAGAAAATCTAATTTTTACACTCATTGAGATATTGCAAATATATTGTTTTTATTTATAAATTGTTAGAAGTTTGATAATCACTTGTTGGGTTACGATAATGAGAACTACTCCATGAAGTCTCATTTTATTCATCATTACTAACTAGTATATTACACTTTCGAGTTACTTCTGGATTAGGTTTTACTTCCTCTCTATATTTATTACAGCCTTCTTAAAATAGGAAAATAGCGACAGTCAACCCCTTGTTCCGGCCTATTTTATTTTGAAAGACTGGTGTACGTCAGTGTGTTTAAAGGCTAAAACAAGATCATTTGATTATGTAGTGATATATTTCCGGCTGATAACAACATTCGCAACGCTTGCAGCAAGTATTACTCGCGTTTTTCGACCTAATTCACGACAATCAACATGACTCGTTTTAATGTTAATTGGGAACGAGCATAAAATGTCTTCATCCTCACAAATATTTTTCTCCAACATATCGTATCGGATTAATACATCATCTCGGTGGTCAGTAAATCGTCTAACAGTCATTTGAATTACATAATTACAAATAATCGCCCTTCCTAGCGATCCCATCTGGTGCAGAACCTCATTTATATAAGCCTCCCTGTAAGATCCATTTTGAAGTCTTCGTGTTTGAAGGTCTCTCCATGCATACATTTGCAACTTGTTCTTATTGGTTTCTCTAGCTGAACATTATTGTAAGTCTTTTTGATGCCATTTGAGATTGCAATGTCCCATTTCATAACAGCTTTAGCATTTTTGCTTTCACTGAGTTTCCATGTTTCTTTCTGAACTGTTTCTTCGTTGTTTTAGTTGATGTTTAACCTTGGCTTCAGCCATATTGATTGTTCCTCTTTGATTGCGTTGCTTGATTTGATTGGGATCGTGCATCTCGGTTGTGAATTAAAGCACTTCCCAGAATTGGAAACACTTCGTGTTATAAAGCATCAATCTCTTAACTTTTGAACGGATTTTTACTTGATCTATCCAGAAATGATAGAATAACACTTATTTTTTTGGTGAAGTCAGTAATTTTCTTATATTCCTTATCAATTTGTCTATTTATTGTAATTTAGATCAATTATTGTGGGAACAATTATTGGTTGAATAACTGAGTGGTAATATTTGTTTAGGTAAAATTG